ATACTGAACTGCATAGGTATATATATATATATATATGGCACCTTGGGTGGCAGTTGCTTCACTAGTCGTAAGTTCCCTTTGACCCAGGTTCGATCCCCCTAGGGGACGACAACACATACCTTATGGGTTTGTCTGGAAACCTGTTCCGGCCGCTCACTAATCTTATATGTTTTTCTATAGCACATGTGACAATTCTAATATCACTCATTTATAACATCTTGAAGTAAATTGGATATCTAGGATTGACATAAAGACTCATATTCAATTACCACGATTGCTACTTGAGACGGCACTCATTATTATTGTCAATTGCGAGATACTTTGTACTCAATAAAAAATATGCTCACTGTAGCCAATAAACCTGATGGTTGTCGTTGCCACCTCGATTGATGCTTATTTTTAGAACTAAGACCAATTGTTTGACACTGCTACAGAGCACAACACATATCTAACAAATTGTTATTCTTCTCTTCTACCAATGATTGAATAGGCCACCAATGGTCTATTGATGACAATAAATTTTTCACATTTTAAGGCGTGCCTCATTTAGATCATTGAAAAAAAAATAAGCTTATATCTATTATATTGTATTAATGTTTCTCTAATAATATGACTTTATTAATATATAATATATGGCCTATATTAGTAGAGTTATTTTACAGTATGTTTGGGGCGGCGGTGTGTTGAGAGCGTGGCGTTGCAACACCGTTTTTTCTATTTGACTAAATTACATTTTGTATGTATTCTTAAAAACTGCAGCTGAAAGTTGTGTTTCCCAGCAAAACCGAATACCCGCGGCTGCTGATAGAAAACTAAGGACTGACTTTAAAAAAAAAAAAATTTAATAACCACCGCAGCTTTTTGAACATGAGTTTATTCAAACACTTGTATCTTTAAAAAACTGCAACAGCTCCAAACAAACCTTTAGTTTACTCTTTCTTGACTTTACATGTAAATTTTTATAAGTTATTTTTCAGGAAAATCACATGTCGAATTTTCATATGATAAGATCATACAAATTATATTTCAACATGCATTATAACCAATTATATGCTAAATTAAAAATCAATCATAACTTGATAAAATATTAATAAATTAAAATTATTTAACAAATTAATATTTTATTTGATATACTCAAATTGTGCTTAATTTTGATAAAAAATAAAACAAAAAAATAATAAAACCCCGCATAATTCGAGTTCTCTACAGCCTACCTACCACCCGGCCAGATTTGATTTTCTAAAAAAAAAAAAAGAAAAATCAATTAAATATTCTGACAAAAATCTAAATTAAAATTTATTAAATTAGACGTGTAATAACCACCGCATACATTTTAATAACTATATATATCATATTTATGTAAAATAACTTTAATAATTTCATTTTCTAGAATAAACTAAATATGAAATAATGCCCCATTAAATTAAGTATATATTACTCAACGAAGATAACAGCACTAATAAAACGACATAAAAACAAATTTAACCAGACATAATTTTAACTTTATTAATAAAAACAATATTTAAAAATTAAATCCCTCTATAAAAGAATCGCGCGGCCCCTGTCCCCTGCGGTCCAGTCTCCATTGTCCCCATTCCCCAGCTAACTTCCGGCTTCTCCTCCGCCGCCATGTCTTCTCTTCCGGCCAATCATCCCTCCACTCCCATCTCCATCAACGACCCCTCCTACGTCCGCGTTCTCGACACCACTCTCCGCGACGGCGAGCAAGCCCCCGGAGCGGCCATGACCGCCGCGCAGAAGATCGCCGTCGCCCGAAACCTCGTCCTCCTCGGCGTCGACGTTATAGACGCAGGATTCCCGATTTCTTCGCAGGAGGATTTCGATGCCGTGAAATCGATCGCCGAGGAGGTCGGGAGCGCGCAGGGAGGACACGTGCCTATCATCTGCTGCGTGGCCCGATGCTCGAAGAGGGATATTGATGCTGCGTGGGCGGCGGTGGGGGGTGTGCGGCGGTCGAGGGTGAGCACATTTCTTGCGACGAGTGAGATTCATATGAAGCATAAGCTGAAGAAGAGCAGAGATGAGGTGGTGGCGATTGCAGGGGAAATGGTGGCGTATGCCAGAAATTTGGGGTTTCAAGAAGTCGGCTTCGCCGCCGAGGATTCCCTCAGGTGACTGAGTCTCCCCACTCCATTATTTGGGAGAGTTTCCCACTGCATTAGTTGGGAGAGTTATTAAAGGGTTATTGGGATATTAACTCCAATAACACTCAAATGAACATCATGCAATAACTTCCAATAATCTTGGCTGTTTCATTTCAATAATCATTACATTAGTCACTGCAGTAACCCCAAATAACATACGTAATTTCACATCAATAACTCTACAATAATCTCAACGTGGCGGCATATTACTAAAAGTTCGCATACTGAACTGCATAGGTATTTCTTATGAAAAAATTTGTCCTGCGCTCGTGTTAGCTCTTTTAAAAATAACTTGTTAAAAATTTCACCGTTAGTGTTTGACTTCTTTATATTTTTAACAAAAAAAAAGTGCTCTCAAACGAACACTAGTTGTTTGAGAATGAAGAGTAGTTTGGACAATCCTGATCAATAGCTTTAAGAAATCGAAGATCATGATAGTATTTAAGTGTTATTATTTATATTAAAATAACATTTAATATAATTTAATATATTTTTTTCTAATTTTGAATTGATAGTTTTAATTGATTATAGAGTCTTGTAATCAACTAATTTTTTTAAAAGTACAACTTATCAATTATAATTGATGATGATAAGTAGTATTTCGAGTCAATTTGAGTTTTGTTCTTTTTTTACTCATTTATATATTGAGCAAAAAAAATTATTCGTAATTCAACATAAATTTCTTATCAAGAACCGATCATGAAAAACAACAGTTTTGACAGCCTTAAACTCATTAGAGATATTTTCTTGACCTATTCTATGTTTGGTATGGACAAATATTTAATTAGGATATTCTTGTTTTAAGTTTTTAATATAACTCATTCAAAAAACGACGAAATTGTTAGCTGGTACTGTTAAAGCGGCGGTCGGTAGGCGTGGGTGCAGACTGCAGACTGCGACTGGCATCTAATAATTTTGGGAAATTTACAATCTTTCCCATAATTCTAATGTCTTTACACATATCTCACTCCTAAACTTTCCTATTTGCACACATAGCTTTAAATTTAGATTTATACATTCACTTATAAATGCCTGGACTGTATAAGAATAAATATTAATTTCTAACCATCACGGAAGATGGCTAAAAGTAGTCCACTAATCAAACCTTTTTTTTTTGAATTATCAAGATAATTTTTTTAATCTTTTATGACAATATTTTGTTTGAATCTACAGTACAAATGAACGCAGTCTTAATTTAATTTTACTTTTTTTATCGCTGAAAGGTCGGACAAGGATTTCCTTTGCCGTGTATTTGGGGCGGTGATAAAAGCCGGGGCAAGTACAGTGATCATAGCCGATACAGTCGGCTGCTCCATACCATCGGAGATCGGCAAACTCATCGCATATATCAAAGCCAACACGCCTGGCATCGAAAACGCAATCATCTCCCTCCATTGCCACAATGATCTCGGCCTCGCCAATGCCAACACTCTTGCTGTATCTCTTCTTCTCCTCCACCTCCTCCTCTTCCTCTGTCTCTCTCATTCATTCATGTCTGTCTTTTCAATGGCATGAATTGCAGGGTATTGAGGCTGGCGCGAGGGAGGTTGAGGTCACCATCAATGGTATTGGGGAAAGGGCTGGAAATGCAGCACTGGAGGAGGTAAAAGCTCTGATTTTGCTCACAAAATTTTGAAATTTTTTGTTTTTCATTTTGTTTAGAGTGGCATCAATGGTTTTGAGGCTGGCACTGATGATATCCTTCTTGTGGATAGGACTAGAGAAAGAGTTCAGGAAAAAACATGAATTATGGGTGTATACATTGGAGTCTAAGGGCCTTTATTTGAGTAGAACTAAAACTGAATACATGGAATGTAATTTTAGTAGTGGTTGCTTTAGTGGCAGACTAGTAGCTATATGTGATCAAATCATTAAAAGATGCAAACGTTTTAGCTATCTCAGGCGGAGTTGTAACAATGGATGATCAAATAATTAAAAGGAGTGATCGTTTTAGATATCTAATTCAAGTTGGTTGGCTGAAGTGGAGGAATGCATAGGGTCTATTGTGTGATAGAAAAGTACCGCTTAAACTAAAAGGAAAATTTTATAAGATGGTGGTGAGACCTGCAATGCTCTATGACCCAAATTGGTGGCCTTTAAAAGAGAAGCATAAAACAAAGTTAAGTGTTGTCAAAGTTAAGTGTTGTTGAAAAACAAAGTTAAGTGTTGTTGAAATGAGAATGCTTAGGCGGATGAGTGGCTTGACACTTAGAGACAAATTGCGAATGATAGGGTTGGTGTAAAGGGTTGGTGTAACTCTAGTGACAGACAAAATTAGAGAGAGTTGTCTTTGATGGTTTGGTCAAATTAAACATCGACCATCTCATGATCTGGTTAAGAGAATAGATGTTTTAGATTCGACTGATGTTAAGAAAGACAGAGGTAGACCTAAAAAGCTAAAAAGACTTGAAAAAAGACTTGAGCATATTGTATAAAAAATGATTTTAATCTATTAGAATTAAATGAGAATATGACACTCAATATGACACAATGGAGAAAAATGATTCATGTATCCGACCCCATGAAGTGGGATAAAAGCTTGTTGTTGTTGTGGCTGTATAGAGTGTTATCTATCATCCATTTCTCACTACTCAACCATTTCATGATTAATCTTCTTTTTTTTAATTCTACAGGTGGTCATGGCAATAAAATGCCGAAAAGATCTAATGGGAGGTATTTATACTGGGGTTAACACTAAATTTATCAGTGCAACAAGCAAGATGGTACATGATTTATCATAATTTTCAGCTTAAATCATTTGATCATGATAGAAGTAGATCATCTAAATAATTCTTATGCATTTTAGGTTGCGGAGTTCACTGGATTTAATGTTCAACCCCACAAGGCCATTGTTGGAGCTAATGCTTTTTCCCATGAAAGTGGTATTCATCAGGCAAGTACATTCATAATACGATTATATTAAATTATTGGAGAATAATTTATTCGAATATGCTTTGTAAGCTCTTTCTAGCCCAGCTTCCACACTTTTATTTTGAGAATTTAACAGACATATCACACAATTTTTATGTATTTTCATACCTAACATACACTTTAGTGTTATAATCACAATAGAATATAAACTTTAAACTGTGTATTTCATTTTAAGAAGTTAGTTTTAGTGGTATTTTTGATGTGATAATAAAGATTTAAATGTTATATTAGTAAATATTAAAGTTTAGGTATTATATATATGTAAATAGGTAAGATTCTATGGTCTGTCTGCAAATCCCTTTTTTTTATTTGTATGAACCATTATTCATTGAAATTCATTTCAAATCATCTTCCCCTTGATCCATCATCTACCAAATATCATTGGTTCAATTACAATGTACTGGTTAAGTTTATAGCAATTGCTTTGCACATTTTGTTGATGTTGTGTGCCCTTCAACTCTAGTTTATAGCAATTGCTTTACACATTTTGTCAATTTTGTGCGCACTTTCAACTTGGCCACCTGTTTGATCTATATGAAGGATTAATTTGAAGAAAATCACCTTCTATAACTCTTGAATACTATCTTTGCTCATAATAATACTTTTTATGATGAAAAATTTTGCAGCATTTGGATAGTGTTCTTTGAAGATAAATAGTATGCTTCATTTTAACACCGTTGATGAAATTATTCTCTTTGCTTTTCAGGACGGTGTTCTTAAATTTAGAGGCACATATGAGTTTATTTCTCGTGAAGATGTTGGATTGGATCCGACAAGTGAATCCGGTATTGTTCTAGGAAAGCTTAGGTATCGTAACTCCTCCCTATCCCATTCCTACTTTATTTTGATGTTTTGGTGGGTATGGTTAATCTTTTCCTTTTTGTGACTACAAATATTTTAAACCTTACAAATGACATATATCTCTCTTTATAGGGATGGTTGTCATGATGGAATTTTGAAAGTGAAACTAAATAATTGGAACAAGGTTGATTATGATAAAAGTTGTCTTGCCTTGTACTCATTTGAACATCTAGTTAAAATAAGTGCTTGGGCTATATTTTTCTTGCAAGTTGTAAAAATAAATCATGTAAGACTATTAAGTCTATTGGGTTAAGGTGGGTTTGAATTTTTCTTGAAAGCAATAGGGCTTGGAGCCGTAGGCCATCAAATTTTGCATCCATTGCTTGCAAGAACTCCTTCCTCCCTTATTTCATACCCCAAATGATGGGTCTTACTTATCACCAACTAAATGATTTTGGTCTCTTGAAAAAAAGAGAATAATATAATGATGTGTTTTTGTAAAGTAGATCTTATATGAAAATATAAGAAAATTCTCTTAACCAGATGAGACTAATAAATCTTATCTAAACTCATATAACGTATAAAAAATTACATTAATAATTTTAAATTTTAAAAACTAAAATCATAGGAATATAATTCATCACTTTCTCTATGAGGGAATACATTTCTTAATATTAATTACATTCTCGGACACTTCTAAGAGACACCTTTGATGGAAGAAATAGGCTTATATTTTTGTTTGAGTTGTTGAATGCCATGTAGTAAACTATAATTCAATAATTATTATTCTATTTGGTCGTTTTATGCTTTATGTTGAGTCAAAATACAACATAGAGAGTGATTCCATCTAATCACACATATAACTATTTTATCACATAAATTTTATACAATGACAATAAATAAATCAACAAAACTCAGTATGCATGAATTAGTTCAATGGTTGATCAATGTTGTTAAGAAACTGGAGAAAAGATAAAATTATCTGATTCGGGTTTCATGGATTAATCTTCTAAAGTAATCAAGCTTAACATTGCTTAATGGTAGTTGATTAGGTCTGGATGTGAGACACTCTATAAATAGCCATAAATTACATTATTTAGTGGAGTCTCATGAATTTAAATCAAGAAAAAATGTTATTGTTATATAGATAATTCTAGCTAATATATCTAGAAGGCATTTCTTGTAAGTATTAGAATTCTCTACCAAAAAATTAATGGCATTGTTTAATTATGTGTAATTAAAGCTACCCAACTTAAAAATATAATTGTCTAAATGTATGCTTTCATTGTCTACCATACTAGACATCGACCCAGGCATATTCAGTTAAATCACACCGTCAAGCTAAGAGAAATTTATTAGGGGATATGAATGGCTATAAATTTATGTATCCTCAAAGCGAAATTTTTTATAAATATATATTAAGATAAGCCATATTTTCTTGTGCAAATGCTATAGTCAATTGTTGATGAGCTCTATTTAAGACTTCGTTATGAAGATAAAAGTAGAATAGTTTAAGTTAAAAGATTGGTCTTAAGGTCCAGATCAATTCAGTTTAAAGATTCAAATTAGGTCAATTTAAGTCAAATGAAATTGGCATATTAAGTGGTGCTCAATTCATAAGTTTAATCATTTGGAGCAAGTTTTAATTTTTGACTTGATCCAGTTTGGTCAAAATAGCAAAAATTACCTATGAAGTTTAATTGGGTCAACTTAAATCAAATGAGCAAATTTGTTTATTCAAGAGTTAATTGGGAATACTTCATTTATGCTTGATCCTTTTCAATTAATTAGAAGTCTTAGTTTCAATTAATTTCGTTAATTTGAGGGTTTAGGCTCTATTTGGCTAAATAGATTCATTTGGGCTAACCTAGGTCCATAGATTAAATTATGCTAATCAAAAAATTTATTTTGTTTAATTAGTCATGTATAACTAATTGGGACTTATTTAGATCATTGTCCAAGGTCAATTCCACTAACTCCAAGGTTTGGATTCCATTGTTCTATCTAAGCAAACTAGGGTTAAAAGGGATCTTAGCTTAGTCTAATCAGTGTTAAAACATTTATGTTTCTTTTATTGAAATCTCATAGAAAATGTTTGGCCAATCAATTAAATTAATTGGTTTAAGGCAATCATTTCAGTTTAGGGTTGACTGGTTCACATATTGTACTTAAGTGCATGTGTCGCTCAAGTAGAATAAAATGAGTAAAGTATCGCTTTCGCAAGGATCACAATTGAAATTTGGATAGTTTAATTACTAATTTCATATTAAATTTATTCTTTTTAAACCACTTCAGTTAATTTAATGGAAACAACACTCTAAAAAAATAAAATACTCGGATCTAGCAATTGGAGAGAAAGCAACCTAGATTTGTAGTTTACTTATATTAGTTTCCTGCATTTTTTTAACTTGACAATAAATCATTTGTCAATAAACAATTTCTAGTTTCCATTGACAACTTAGAAAATTTAATGAGTCAATCTAATTCATATGTTATAATATTTCTATATGAATTAGAAGAAATGATAGTATTATGAGCATTTTTAAAGGATTGCAAATTTCTACATAAATATATGTCTATCCTACTCAAGAACTTGTCGATTTACTTCTTGTTGTTCATCTACGACTCTTTCAATATCTCTATATGACAATAGCTTTTAAATATGCATATGGCCAACCCACAAATTAAATGAAAATTGAAAGTAAATTAGATAAATGTTCATTAATATATAAGCAACACAAGATATAGTATAAACCAAATCACAAATTTAGAGTTTCACAATTTAGTCATGCTTTCAAATAAAAAATCAAGACAAACATTCTTATCATTTAAGAATCCACTAAACAATAAGGCCAAAAGCAAGAGTAGGTCTGAATGAATTTTTAGCTCCTTAGAATTTCTTTCTCTTCTTTCTGTCCTTTCTTCTTTGTGCTCCCTACTTCCTACTCCTCACACTTCACTCTCGCCACTTAGACTTACTTGCTCGACATACTTACTTTGATTCCACACATCTTAACTCTCTATTAACCACTAGGATAACTCCCAAAATCCACTTTGAACCGTCTTAGAATTGAATTGTTAGGCTCATTGTGTTGTAGTGCTAGGAAATTGTGTTGTGACCCTAAGTTCTACTTTTTAATATGAATTCCGCTCTTTATGACATTACGACACCCTAAAATGTGTTGGTCTTGAAGTCCACTAGTTCCTATATGGCACTATGGTGCAAAACTCTCGGGTTTTTAGACCTTGTCTTTAGCCTTTTAGCTCCATTGCGCAATATGGTTAATGTTGATACACCAAATTTATACTCTAGTGTTGAGGTGTTGTGAGTACAACACGATGCTATCTTGAAAATTTTCTTCATCTTTCCTTGAAATCATGTCCTATAGAAATTTTTGCTAGAAATAATACCGTTGTTGATAATAAATTGTAAAATAGGTTAATTTCTTAACAAAATTTTCTTAATATTTAATTCACTCATTTTGAGTTAAAACTTTTGATCATACTTATGACCTTACTTAATTTCAAGTGATCTAATGGTCCCCTAAAATCAAATCAAATATGATTTGATCATTAGATTAGAGAGTGAAAGATTGAAATCACCAATTTGCCTAATTTGCGTTAAGCTAAGGTTAAAGTTGGCCAACTATTAAAAAAAAATAAAAGTTGGCCAACTATTGACTTTGGTTAAAACATTACCAGATTGATAGATTTAAAATAAGATTCAAGAGAATTTATGATGCCCCCATTGGTTGATAAGCTCAATTAGGTTCTAAGGTCATTCAATGCTTGAACCTGGAAACGAACATTAATTGAAATTGAGCTTATCAAAATATTTAATTAACCTCAAACTCGAAATCGACAATTAGTAAGTCTAGAGGCCCGATCATACTAATCTGAGTGAAGACTTATAGCTACTTTATTCTAAGCCAAAGGATCAATTAAGGGTCTGTTTGGGTGGCTACAACATTCTAAAGGGGTGATTGTGTAAAGCTGTTGTGGAGAAACCAACTTCTTAAAAAAGTGCAATGGAATCGTAAATAAATATTTTTTTCCAAAAAACCTATCATCAATTTCTTATAGCCACCACACTTTAACGTTTTATGATAAAAAACGGCTTCCCACCACATAAATTTCTAGAAAGCAACAAGAAAGCAGTTCCTCAAATGGAGTTATGGTGACGATCTCAAACGCAAAGCAAGTAGAAAGTTGCCCCAAACAAACCCTAAGTCACAAGAATCTTGTGGAATTTTAGAATTTTTCAGAAGTAAATGTCTGCATGGTTAGCACATGTGGTACCTTGAAGTGAAATTTTATGGATAATGATGTTCATGTAAGCTCAATGAACTTGATGGAATACGAACTCACTTTATCAAGTCATGCATTCAAACTTTTTTTTTTAAATTCGACTGCTCACCTTAATGTAGATTTCTTGTTTATTATAATGTTAATCATGATGTCCTCATAGTAATTAATATCTTTAATGCTTAATGAAGCTTCTTTATGTTCGTTGTAAACATTTCCTTGAATTCCAATACCTAAGGTGATTCTTTAATATTTTACCATTTTTTTTTATGTTTTTCTAAGTTGTATTCTTTAAAGGGGTAATATCTAAAGGGTTTTTTTATTCATATGCCCACCTGTCCAATGTCTTTTGTTTTGCAATTGACCAAAAGTCATGCAAGCTACTTATTTCATAAATGATTTCAAAATCTAATATTTTTGAGGTCTTAAATGGAGAATACTTTTTAGTCATGTAATGTATGTAACATGCTTTGATTCTTTCTTTACAGTGGGAGACATGCTTTAAAATCTAGGCTTTTGAAGGTACTATTTTATAGAACTACATATTCAAATATGGTTTTTGTTCTTTTATTTAATTTTTTTTTTTTTTGCTTTTAATATGCCATTCTCATGCTTGTTTATCATACTTTAGTTAGGTTATGATTTAGATGAGGAAAAGCTTGCTGAAGTATTCAAGAAGTTTAAATTGTTCACTGCAAAGAAGAAGGTATATTTCTTGTTCTCACTGGCTCTACTTATTGCATACATTGTTGCATTATTTTGATTATAGACTACTAAGCATACCACATAAATTAGAGTAAAATCAAAGACTTCAAATAGTTTTAATCTTAAATTTCTGTTTAACTAGCATAAATTTAATCTCTCAGCTTCAATGTTAAGTAATTTCTCACTTAAGTCGACACGGTGATATTATTATTTTCATATTTAATTTAATATCCATTTTTCAGAGTAAATTTACAACATTCTCAATAAAATATTTTTTATTCTATTTCCTAACTATATTTTTTTCATGACTTGTTGAAATAATTTTTCTTAAAAACAATTTATTTGAATGTGCATGTTTGCATGGGTGATTTTTTTCATTGAATTGTAATTTCTATTTCTTTTTAGGGTCTCACAGCTCGAGTCTTATGAGTATGATTCCCTTTTTACAACATTTTTGGCATCATCCATCTTCATTGCAGCACATAAGTTCTCTTTATTAGCTTGAAGAATTTTAACCTATACATACATGCATACATACATACATACATACATTTATGCTGAGAAATTATTTCTCAGAAATGCTATAATGAGCGAGTTATTTTGCAGCATATTACTGATGATGATATTGAAGAACTGGTATGTAGTAAATCTGTGCAGTCCCAGCCAATATGGTCACTTGCAGATCTTCAGGTAAAGCTGATTGCTGCCATGCGTTATTCCATCTATTGCCCATGTCCAGCATCAGTTGACATTTATCAATTGCGTAAATAATGATAATTATCAAAATAGCCCCTTAAGGTCATTGTAGTCACATAGTCTATAAAGTGTGAAATTAGACCCTAGAATCGTTAAACTGTGCTGAAATAGTCCTCCGTGCAGACTATTTTAGTACATGTTAAAATAATATGGGGACTAAGTTGATACTTTTTTAGATTATGGGACTAAAATGACCCATTTCAAAGAGTCAAGGACTATTTTTACACTTTCTTTTTCTTTATTAATCTAATCTCTTTTTGCAGGTTATGCATGGAACTATGGGATTCTCAACAGCTGCTGTTAAACTAATTAATTTGGATGGAACAGAGAGAATTGCTTGTTCTGGAGGGAAAGGACCAGTGGATGCTGCCTATAAGGCCATTAATAATATTATGCAGGTATATTGATTTTTATTAGAATTTCCTTGGATAGTGATTTTTATTAGAATTTCCTTTCAGCGGTGATTTTCTTTTATTTAAAAGTATCATCTCTTATTTAAAAGTATCATCTCTCTCTCTCTCTCTCTCTCTGCCCCGCTGATTTTTTTCTGAATTCCATGCATCTATCTTTTGCTGCATGTCTTTTGTAACAGTTCTCTAAACGTTACTTATTGAATAATGCAGACTCCTATAAAGATTGTTGAGTATACAAACTCTGCTGTGGATGGAATAAATGCCGCATCTTTGACTCATGTAGTTGTAAGCGAAGATAAGGATCATATCTACACACACTGCCCATCTTTAGAAGCCAACGGTCACAGTAATGGTCACATTTCATCAGGGAAACCCAACGGTCATTCAATGAGGTTTGTTGATTCAATTACTTTTTTGGGGGCGGCATACATATAACCCAAATCCTATTTATTTAAACGTCTAATTGTTGTGCGAAACAATGTGAAAAACAAGATCACACAACAAACAAACAATCAAACACGATGTGATTTACGTGATTTGAAGCAAATCTGCCTACGTCCACAGAGAGGAGTTATTCCACTATCAACAGGTGGTGAGAGGAAAAAAAAACGGTCAAAATTAGGGTTACAACACGACACAAAAAATCAACTCTAATTCTTTCTATAAATATGAGAGGATTATGACATACAAATCAAGAATATTTCTAATATAGAAAGAATCTTATAATTCGATATCCTCTACTTATGGGCCAGTTTGGGCAGCTTTTTTGGCGTTGCGTGTTTTGAAAACGTTGGGCATGTCGCTTGGAAACCGTGGTACGGTGGCGGTTTGGGATAAGCTGGTTTAAACGCATTTTCCTGTGTCCTGCGTTTTCTTTTTTTTTTTTTTTGCAATTTTATTACTTCGCTACCCTGATCTCCCATCTCTCCCCTCTCTCGCATTTCTTCTCCCCCAAGGTAACACTTCTCTCTTACGTCTCTCTCGCATATCTCTCACGTCTCTCTCGCTCCTCTCTGATCTGTGACTCCGGTGGCATGGGTTTGCCTTTATTCTCTTCTCCCTCTTCCCTCCGATCTTCGACTATGTTTGGTTACTTTGTTCTCTTTCCTCCCACGGTATCATCTGCTATTAACTTTGCGGTTTGAAGTTAATTTACGATTTGTGGCTTTCTTTTTGTGACTTGTGGCTTTCTCATTTGTAGGTTGAAGTTTTGAGGATGAGAATTTTGAAGTTTGTGATTTTTTTTGTGCTCTGTGCTCTATTCAGTTGATGATTCTATCTGTTTACGGTGGTCGTGATTATCTGGTGGTTGCTTGTAACACTTGCTTTTGTGGTGGTTCATTCGTAATTTTATTGATGATTTGCCTGAAATTATGGTTGCCCAAATTTGTGTTGGTGATTTTGTGGCGGTGAATTGTGGTGGTTGTCCGAACTTAGGGTTGTCCGGTAATGCTCTATCCGGTTGTGGTGGTGATGGCATGGTGGTGATGGGTTGGTGGTATTGGCGTGCTATTAGTGTGGTGAGGAGGTGATGACATTATGGTGGTGGTGGTGGCGGTGGTGGCGGTGGTGACGGTGGTGGCGGTGGTGACGGTGGTGGCGGTGGTGGCGGCAGTGATGTTGTGGTAGTGGAGTTGGTTTGGTGTGGAGGTGGTGGTAATGATGTTGTGTGGAGGTGATGGTGTGGTGTTAATGGATTGTGGTGGTGTTGATATTGTGGTGTTAGTGGTGGTTGTGTGGCGTGGTAGTGTTGGTGTGTTAGGGTTGGTAGTGGTGGTGGTAATGTGGTGTAGAGGTGATGGTGTTAGTGGTGGTGGTGGTGGTATGTCCCTGCTAAGACAGGTGAATATCGACTAGGGCAATCATTATCACAGGCTAAAATTATTTACCTGAGTCTTCTACCCAAGATTGGGAAAGTGCTGGGGAGATGATGAAGTTGAGAGAACAAATTACGAATGCAATAATGAATGAGTGAAATGATGTAGTATGCTACAAATTTTACTCTTGCTTTTTTGTGTTACTCGTCGTTTAGAGAGATTTCATTTTGTTGTTGTACTATTTGAACTTATGGTTTCTTAGGGATGTTGAATCTTATTTCTGCTTTCACATATAAGTTATTCAAATTGGATTGCTTCTGTTATGAACATCACAACAAGAGAGGCAAATAGGTTTTTTTCATAAACAGCGGTAGCACAACTGCTCCACAACCACACTAAACAAACAAACACAACTTACACACAATAACTTCCGTGTAGCAGCTTCCTGGCACAACTATTGAGCAACAACTTATACATAAACTCCAGCTACCCCAAACAAAGATTATATTACCTAATATCAATCTTCCTAGTATAAAAATATCATATAATTAGATATCCTCTATATATGTTACCTAATATCAATCTTCATAATATATACGCTTCCTAATATAAAACAATTAGATTTAATACTTTCCATAGCACTACCACAAACTTTGTTTTTACATTTTTTTCCACTCAAATCTTTTGTATCACATCTAAAATGGCACAATTTTAATTTTTGGAAATGAAATACACCTTTTCATGCGCAAGTGAGACGACATCTATGTAAAAATTAGAGTTTAGGTGTAAGATGTGTAAATAGATAAGAATTGTGTGGTGCGTATGTAAATCTCCTTTTTATTTATATGTAATTGCTTATGAACTCATAACTTCTTTTAAATGAAAATGATATTCATCTTCCACTTATTTCTCTGCATTATTATTATGCTTAATCAAAACTATTCTCTTTTCAGCTTTAGTGCAAGCGGAGAGAACTTGGACGTTGTGGTTTCCAGCGTCGAAGCCTACTTGAAGGCGGTGAACAGGCTCTTGGCTAAGAAGCAATCCATCTGAGATGTTTGGGATACCAAAATCAGAGTTTTTCTCCGCCAGATCAATAAGCTCTTCTTTGTTGGTACAAAGAGTATGTTGAGCCAAAGTTGATTTCTGCTTAATTGTAATCTTTTTTCAAGTTCTCTTGTTAACTTCAATATCTATGTATCACTTGAGTTTAAACTATTTTTAAGTGTTTTTGTTTTTTGTTTTTTGCCATGTTGTGAGCAAGTGTTGTTCTTTTATCTGATTGAGCTTAAAAATAGGATTTTTTTAATTAATGCTTTGTTATTATTATTTGCTACCATCAGTATAAATTTATTCAAATATTAATTGTTATATAAATTTATTCAAATTTTTGATAAAATTGTCTCATAACTTGTTAGTTTAAATTAAATGAAATATAAGCTTGCTATAATTTCATATCATGATTTATATATATTTGTATACACAAAAAATGTTGACACGAATCTCAAAGCAATCAAACGGTCTCGATGGCGGTCAGATAATTAAGACATCTCACCGTCATAATCGACCGATAGATTATCACAGGAGATTCAATCAACATACCATGCATGCGTCCCCAATCGATCAAGATGCGCATGTAAGAGCCTTTGATCGCGAGCTAATTGGCCGACCTTCTTTTACTACGGTGTGCAAGATCTCCATTAAATCGGGCACCTTAGTCGACCGGCCTTTACTTTGGAAGGTGTAGTCATCACTTAGCCGGTCGCCTCAACCAATTTAATTCAAGCAGGTCGACCAGCCAATTACAGTCATATTAAAATTTGAATTGTAATACATATATGATATAAATTCTACACAATTAATTAGAATATTAATTGTATTAAGAACAATTTCCATAACTATTCCATTTTTTCTGTAATTGTATAAATATGGCCCTATAAATATGAGGCAAAAGAATAAGTAAAGAGACTGTTCTCTCTGCAGTGAAATCTTGGCTTATTCTTTTATTTTTTTCTCCTTCGACTAGCTCTAACTCTCCTGCGTGTTCTCAAAGGACAATTTTGGATCCAACGTCCTAAAAGGTGGCGCAGTAAGTGTGGACATGTCCCAGACGAGAAGCAGAGCCAACTATGAAGGAGAGTTCCTGCAGAAAGATTGCCCTAAAGAATTCAATGGGGAGACAATACGTTGAGACGTATAGAAAGAGGTCCAAGCACTGCGAAAGTAAATAATTGGCTAGTTTGAGGTTCTTCGAGCGGTCATGATATTGAACATCTGACTACCGGCCATGGAGGAAGGGTCTCGAGGAACCGTCCCCAAAAGGCTCCCCTCAACAATCCGCCAACACCCCACAGTTGGCCTGGTGACCGGCCTACAGAAGGAACATGCATTTCCCATCCGACAAAAAGCGTCGCATCTATGCCGACAGTCCCACATCGAGCAGAGTGAGTAGAAATGCTCACTTGACCAATCATGGGTAACACCTTTCGAAAATTCCTAGAAACAAGACCCCCGACAAATTTTAGAATTCCTCACTTTGATGCCTATAAAGGGAAAACGACCCGGTCGACTACCTCGTCTCTTTTGAGTTGACAGTTGGAGTCTTGTAGGTTGATGACGTCATGAAGTGTCAGTTGTTCTTGACTATGCTGAAAGAAGTCATGCTCTTATAGTTTAATAGCCTACCGAATGGTGTCATCCCATCGTTCTTTGAGTACTGAAAGCTCTTCCTCGCACACTTTGCTAAGTACAAAAGCCAAGGAGGGATACAGAGACTGCCTCAAATCAGGCAAGGGGAAGGCGAAAGCCTACAAGCTTACATCACTCGCTTCCAATAGAAAATGCTAGAGGTGAAGAACTTGGAGTCGCTCATCTTTGAGCATTGAGGTTAAGAATCTTAAGGATAAGAATCTTACTATTTATCCTTCTTCTTTGGTTTATTCGTGGGGCATCTCATTCAGCAGAAACCGTCTCTTTGATTATACTTAAGAAGAATCATTTTTTTTTATCCCCTAAAATTTGCTTTAATTGGCATGGATTATGGATGAATTTCCTGTTTACATGCTTAGACGAATACTTGCATTTTATGTGAATGTTATCAAGGCGTATAAATCTTGCAGGGGAAAGTGATTTTGAGATATAGCACTATGGATTAACTTGATTTCTTTGAGAAGGTTTGTTTTGCTTCCTTTCTTTAAAATATTCCCTTCACTTTCAAGATCCTTGCATAATTCATATGTAATTATATATGTCCAACGCCTGAAGTTCAAGTTTCCTGTGATATAAAAGATTTAGGTGACATAAATATTATAAAAAAAAGTAAGAGGTTAGGTGTTGAATATGTAAATACATAAGAATGGAATTAACTATTTTATTTACTTATTTTAATATTTAAGATTGGGAAATTTACACATTTGTCACACCATTCATACGTATTTACATATCTAACATTTAAAGTTTGATATGTTAACTTATGATATTTTGGAAACAAACAACTATGCATAAAAAAAAAAAAGAGGAAGAAGAAGAGAGGGGATGTATTGTTTTTTACTCGTGATTTTTTTTTTCTGACTTGAATGTTAAGTGTAACTATGTTAATACATGAAAATTTGGGTGGCATGTATGAAAACGTACCTATTAATCAAATGATAATATTGCCTACCAAGGCATTTCAGTTAATTAAAGTTATTTTATTTAATAGGAGTATTTGCGTACATAATACTCGACTCCTATAAATTTACATATCTAACACCTATAGTTTACTTTTTATTACACTCATGCTACCCAAATCTTTCAGAAAGGGTATCATTCTTTTAACTCCTGAAAAATGAAATACAACTTTTCATACATGATTAAGATGGCATGTATGCAGGAATTGGGGTTTGGATGGCAGATATCTAGATGGATAAGGATTGTGGTTATGTATATGAAGGCTTCTAATTTATTTCACTGATAGTCCTTGAGTATTTTTGTTGGAATGGATACTCATAGTGCTGCTCCTTGGCCGGTTGCTTGATTTCTTGGCTGGTTTGCTCTGTTTCTCTTGTTGGACCCTTGGTTTACTGTTTGGCTGCCTGATTTCCTTGTTGGTTGCTTGATTTCTTGGTTGGTTTGCTCGGTTTCTCTTGTTGGCCGCTCGGTTTACTGTTTGACTGCTTGGTTTTCTTTGTTGACTACATGTTTTTTTCATTATTTTTGGCTGGCTTACTCACTTCTCTTGCTTGGTTACTTATCTATATTTAGATAGCTCGCCGATTTGGAACTTTTGCTATAAGCCATATCTTGAAGGAGGTTTTATGAGCTCGCTAACTTGGGATTTCCTTGTTATATGTCGTACATTACTTGAAACCATGTAGTCTGCTAGTTCTGTCTTCTTGGAGTGATGCAGTATACCTCGAAGGTATTCACATATATACTGCTCAAGTCATATGTATATCTACAGAGATAGCACCCATACTTTAATCGTTACATTGATACCATTTAACTCTTATGTGCTCACATGTTGGACAGCCGGATTTTATTCGTTATATCACATCACAAATACTGCTTTTTCACCTACATTTTAAAAGCAAAACACACTTTTTCATTCGTAAATAAGATGGCATGAATACAATGGATTAAAGTTTGGCATCGGACATATAAATACATAGGAGTTGAGTAGCATGTATGTAAACACCCTTAAGTCTTCCCACATAGTTTTGATATTGGTTAGGGAAATACTCATGTTTATGTGGAAATATTGATGATGTGGCAGTTTTATGTGGATCATCGAGCTAGTGTACAAGTGGGAGGTGACGGGGTAATAGGCGATGATACAAAAGATAACTAGTGCTAAAAAAATGGGATAAAAGAGTAGTATGTCTCTTGATCCGATGATTTCGTGAGGGCGCATGATCGACACTACTATTCACCAATACTTGGCGAGAAACTGTCATTGTTTTCCTATGTTGCTGATAGCTCTAGCCTAACAGTATGACTAACTCGTGGACCATCTGATTTACAAAAAATACATATATATATAACAAAAAATTTTGCTCGTGCCACTAATATTTTTTACTGATAAGTAAGAGTTTAACTTTATTTATAGGCATGACAAATTAAGAATTTTGAGCGTTACTTTCCACGGGTCCACTTATTAATCACCTTGATTGGGCTAGAAGTTGCAATCCTTTGATTGTCTTGTTGGTAGCTTCTACCTCATGTTGGACTTTATATGCACATATGACTGATGGTTGCCAACGAAAGTCCCTCGAGAATTTTCAGGGTCATAGGTCTTGAGTTTGAGCCCACCCCTAGCTTAAACTCTTATACCAAGCTCCAATCTTTCATATATTACCATCTGGTTTTATATATAAAATATATAATTGCAATTCTTTCATGAAAAATCATCAGAAGTGACTGACACGTACTACCACTTTTTTTTTAAACATTTTCTCTTTTATTGTATTCTGTTGTATATATTTGGTTTATATATGCAACATTATTATTCTATTACTTATTATGTTTCTTGCTTGTGAAAAGACCCTTAAGGTAAAAAACATAGAACATATGCCTATGATGAAAACTTCGATTATTTTCTTGGGAAAAGCCCTAGGATCGCAGATGTAAGGCATATTTTTGGGGAGAACCCTATAATACACGATCGACACACACTTTTGACAAAGAATAACTTTAACAACCTTCAAAATTTTCATAACAAAACACTTTCAATTAAATGAAATTAAAAAAAATGTTTTAAACTTTGATAAACTAATGTTGTAATAACATAATAAGCAAACAAATAATGATAGGAGCCTAGAATAGGTTGTTCACAGAACGAGACGACGAAGTGAACTAGCGGTGGCCAACTTCCAAACGACGGTCGGGACCACAATGTGATGCGAAGGATGATCATCAACTAAACCTTTCATAGTATTGAATAACATAAACCTTTAGACCTTTAAGGTTGTTCGTTTAGCACGACGTAAATCCTTATACTATTTTTTAGGCCTTCGTACGATCATATGTCGTGCAATATAAGTCCTAATTCTTTTTAGGGTTCCGAGGTTGTTCGGTGCAACGTAAATACTTCTAACATCTTAAACCATTTGCATGATCGTATGTCATGCATATATAAGCATAAATCTTTAAATAAATTGTAGGATTGCAACATGGAATAATTTCATATTCAAAGACATAAAGCCAAGCCATAGAATTATATAAGATGTCATCGAGGTTTCCTTGGTATCTTTGACATTTTT